CTTACCATATAATCAAAACCAGAGCTAGCTATGACATTTTCTGCAGTTGGATGCCATTCAATGTAGCCCACCCTGCGGCGGTGTCCACGTAACTCTATAAGCCATTCATTCAAGTTGCAACTTAGACCACTGTCTGGGATATACCATAATTTAATCTATAAAATATCAATAAAAAAAAAAATTGAAATTTGAAAATTAGAATTTTACATTTTGAATAAATAAAAACAAATAGTATGATACACAATACATATGACTTACAGTACAATCATCAGAACAAGAAGCAATTATGTTATCATTGAATGGATTCCATTTTACATCCAAAACTGGACCTCTATGGCCAGTAACTTTGCTGGTATTTAAATCTAAACGACCAGTCTAAAATCAAACAAGTAGTAGAAATTACTAATTTGACATTATTCCAATTAATAATAGCTTATACCTTATTGATTGGTAATACTACAAATGCTCCACCACCAGCTACTTCAGTTACAATGGCAACAAATTTTGGGTTGGCAGCACAAAAATTAGAATCATGAGCGTTGCGAGTGATTGGAATATTGTCATACAATTCTTCTCGCCTGGACGGGGATCCATATACATGACGAAACTTTGAACTACGCACTCCACGGAATAATGCCTATTAAATATTATAGGTATATTAACATTTTTGTACTTGATAAAATATATGAAAGAAAATATTATAAATTATAATAAATTGTACCGTATTATTTGTCATGTTGATAGTTTGCTGTTAAAATAATATTTGGAATTCATGCATTTCAAAAACAAAATACTATGAAAAATTTAAGCACACAAAACTGAAAAAAAAAAAAAACAAAAAAAAAATAATGATATAACTTCTATATTCTACGACTAAGGATTACCTACTATATGTAATCACACTATTCCTATGGAGAAAAATAAAAAAATCTAAGCTAACACTATCTTCTAACTTTTTGAATGAATTAAAATTATTATGACGATAATATGTAACAGTAAAGAACATTCGATGTAAGATAAAAAATAATGGTAGGTACTCAAAGCATGAAAATATATTCATGAATAATGCAATAACGTAATTGAATGCACATAACTACTGCCCTTTCTCTCTCACTAGATAAATTATACATTATAAAATGCATTTTACAACCAACTAAATACCATACACACAAGAAACATACTTTTTACGTTTTACCTACTATCATCTATTAAATACTATACAGTTTATAATGAAATATGAACCTATACGTCGAGACAATATCAGGCAGTGGTTTCCATAAGAATAAATTATTTTTCGATCTCAAATAGCATTTTAGCAAATACGACGATATAATTGTCATCGGTCGATCGTGCAGAAACTGAGACGAGTTAATCTTCCGAGTAGCTGCTAAGTGCGCGTTACATTAACGACTATACACCTAGATACTAACGAAACAGCCAGATAGGTATCTACTAAGGAGCTTGCTTCTATCGTCGTCTTCGTTTTGTTTGTCAAAAGAAAACAATCTAAATTCGGAGAGCAAAACCACAAATTGCGAACTAAAAAAAACTAATAGGTACTGGCCTTTATAAAATAGTCATTTGTGAATTTTTACCTTGATCACGGGCTTRTTGCAAGCCCTGATGTCTACTAAGGCGTTAGACTTGAACACGTCATCGATTTTGTAGCCAGTGCAGTGTTTGTCCAGAGTGCCCATAATGTAATTGATTTTATGGCGTGGGTCTCATTGAGAAATAAAATAGTTCAAGAAAAATGGCGCGCGAAATTTCGTACGAAAGAAACAGAACCAGAACGCCGTACAAATGACATGTCTCGATAACGTTATGAACACACTGAGTCACTGTCCCACTGAAATGATTGRACTAGGGCTCGGAAGTCGGAATCGTCGGCGCCAGGTGGCGGCGGCGGTGACTGAGGTGTGTACTGTGTTGTTRTTCCCCGTCCGGGTGGTCAACGTCGCGTGCGTGCGATCATGCGCATGCGTAGATGGTAGAGTGCGGGTGGTTGTCGCGCCTAACCACGGTTATGTTACACAATAGGAAGGGGTCGACAACCTTGCGCTGGGGTCGTGTCGCGTGACCGTGGATAATAATAATAATATTATTATGTAAACGTAAACATGACGACGCTGAGGCACAATACCCGGTAACCGGTAACATATTATTATTATTGCTCAGAATTKTTATCGTGGCGCCGTCCATGTCCAGACTAGACTGTGGAATTATAGTCTCCCCGATTGGCGATTATCTTTTCAGTGGCGTCAGTTTGGGGAACGAGTATTGACTATATTTCTTCCTCATCACCCGCAGATTATTCGTCTTGCGTTAAGAAATTTAGGAAATTGAAAAGTAGTCACAAAGAAACTTGCCCCCACCAGCCCCACCATCCCTTACTACCAGTGGCTTAATCTCAAACCTGGGGCTGCTACAASCTWTTTCTTTTCCCTCTAAAATTTTTTTTATTTATCCAAACCATACATTTTTGTGATAYAGGTGAGGGTACMATACAATTTTATAGAACCTATCTGATAATTATAATAACACACGTGTTTCATCATTAGGAAAAGGAAATAAGTAATATAAAAATCAAAAGATATACATAAATATTATGTACTTACTTATTTTATCAAAATATGTAGAAAAACAATTAAAAATGTGTAACAAAATTTGGGGGGGGGGTGATATACATAGGTTAGGTTAACTACATATAAGGTAATGGGAGTTCAATGTCTTACATTTATATATTATAATTTCTAATTATTTTCATATTTTTAGTGCATGATTTTTACCCGGATTCTTATGCAAATTTTTTTTCAACTTAATTTCCTACCTACATACAGGGTGA